GCATTATGGTGGATTACTGATCATGGACGAGATATACTGGTTGCGCAGCGCATATTTGGAGTTTTGTATTTGGCGACTTTGGGGGTTGTTTTAGCTTGTTATAAGAGGGCTAAGGTAGGTTTTGATGATTGGATATGAATTGGGGCAAAGGAGTCAGAGAATATGGACTAATCTTCGATTTGGAATCTAGGCACCGCACTATATATTTCCAATGCTCTTCCTTTCGAAACGATTACATAGCATATTTGTTCTTCGACTATTCAATGATGGTTTCGCGGTTTTCTTCTTATGGGTTGCGATCTACTTCTTCCAGCGCAGATTATGGACAATTGGGAGTATGGCATATAGTTGGGGTCTGGGAATTAAAATGTCATTGTTACTAGCATTACCCTCTATTGGAATAATGTTATTCTTGACAAAAGGGGTACAAGGAGCTCTCAAACAAGCATGGCTTATGGCACAATTGCAAGTTGTAATTGCACTTTCCTTCCTCCCAATAAATGCAATTGGTTATTTGAGTAGAGCTTTTGAGTTTTCAAGGGTATTCTTTTTCAAATGGACAGTCAATTGGAGATTTTTGGGAGAAGAAAAGTTCCTGAGCAAGGAATTTTCTATAATTTTATTGGTAGGGCATATAAGCACTCTGGCTTTGTTCGCAATGACTAGATGGCTCAAGCCAGCGGAAACGCCAATCATTGATTTGATTCGAAGTGCGCTGAGATTTGAGGAGCCACTGGGACAAAGACTGCACGCCTGTTCGCATACGATATCACCAAACTATATCATGACAACCATCCTAACTGCTACCACAATTGGTATGCTCTTCGCGCGATCTTTGCATTACCAATTCTTTGCCTATCTTGCATGGGCCACCCCCTTCTTACTTTGGCGTAGTGGCATGCACCCAATCCTTCAATATGCTTTATGGGGGGCGCAGGAATGGGCGTGGAATGTATACCCAAGTACTGATGTAAGCTCGTTGGTAGTAGTTGGAATTATGTCTATCACCGTGGCGGGCGTATGGTGGGGAACCAGGCTTGATTTTGTTGCGCCCAAGGGCCAAGGGGCCGTCGAAAAGAAAACTTCTTAATCAGGCGTGAGCAAATTCCTTCTCCCCCAATAACATTCGGTATTTTGTACAATATCGGATCTTGGTCATATCACTCTTCGTCCGAGTCTGATGGTGGCATTTTGCCTACAGTCGATTCCTCATCATCCGAATCCTCCATATATGCGGAGCTTTTTGGAAATTCCTTGGGCCTATTGAGATGGTTTGTCAGGAGAGTCGAGCCAAATAGTGCACGATATGAAAGACCTACCAGTAAGCTTCCTTTCGCCAAATGTGTTCATCCCGGACGACATTTATAATTTCACCACCAATCTTATTCTCTCTCACATTTGCATCTTTCGTGTCGATCAAGACATAACCACCACGTTTGATCCAAATTGTATTACGAAATCGAGAAGGCAATTCGACAAGAATGGTTGAATTATCAGTGAGAGTGCAAGAGTATAAGCTGTTTCCTTCAGCTTTGATAACACGAGCAATCGATTGTGTTTCTGTCAATGTATCTGGCGGGGTAGAAGTTTCTTCGGCGGCCGCAAAGACATTACGCTTTGGTTTACCCATTGTAAAATAAAATGTGGTGAGACTTGAAATGATTTTGAGAATTGAATTTGAGAATTGAAGTTCAGAAAGACAGTAGTTCTAGGCCTCACGATAGAATTTGTGGAAAGTCCAAGGATGATGAAATTTAACAAGCTGATTTGTTATGTCTATCAATTTTCTTAAAGGTGCTTGGCTTGGGAATATTTTTTTCTTTGGCGGGGTTCGGAATTATTATTATCCGTGACCGTATTGTCCATGGGAAACTTAGCCGAAAACCCTGACGTCCTGATATAGAAAAGATCTAGAAGACCCGTGGACATTGATTGGATTTATGACTCAAGGCTGGATTGGGCAACTCCGCTTAATTTATTTTCGAAGCCCTATACGTTGAAACTTTCTCAAAAAGCTTTTAAGATGCTTACATGTGTGTATAAAGTGCATTGTCCGAAGTATTCCCACATGTCCAGATGCATTCCAGAATATATCGAGATCCAATTACGACAGTCATTCTCTTATCATGGATCCAATTTTACAAAAACCTGTTGAATTTCTCCACATTTGGCGGAGATCTCACTTGGTATGGAGCTAGTGTTCTCCCCCAACTCCCCAAACCCTTATTTTTAAGCCTTTAGCCTTCCCACCGGTCCTGATCTAGTGATTTTAGTCTGCTTCAAACCGCAAATTTCAGAATTAGTATGGCGATTATCATTTTTAGTCCATAGGGACTACTGGGCACTATTCGTCATTAGTAAGTACTTCGCATGACCTCCGAATGTTCAACTGCCTCGTCAGTTCAAATACAAATTCTTTGCATATATCATTGAGCTCACCCTTTTCTTTCTTGATTTTCTCACCATCTATCACCTTAACCGTCAATATATATACACAATCACATATTCCAAATCACTTTCATAAAATCTTATTGCCTTATTTGGCATACATGATTCTATCACAGTCATAATGGCTGCTCATTTCTCTTCAATCTTCGACGTCGTATCGACAAACAATGAACTTGTTGCTGCTGGTACTGCAGCGAACAATGAACCCATCGCCGCCCCTCAGAAATCAGTTACCAGAACATATCACTCAGCCCAACAACCCCATGCAATTGAACTCGATAATTTACAATGGGGATCAAATGTCAATCGATCATCTGCATCTGGAACTACCACACCTGGAGCAGAACCTGGGTCGGGATGGACAACTCCAGGCTGGCAAAGTTCAACATCCCCAAGCGCTTTGGAGGAGAGTCGACCACAAACTCCAAATGACGAACCGGAATACATCGTTCAAAGTTTCTCCAACCCTCCCAAAAATAGATACAGAATGACTGCGACCTGTTTGTTGAACTTTGGCAATGGTTTGAGTGATGCTGCAGCTGGACCATTGATTCCAAAGATGATCATGTATGTTAATCCGTTCCCAAGAAACAATAACCATTACTGATTAAATATTAGAGCATATGGCATTGAAGAAAGACTCGTATCTCTCATATTCATCACGCAGGCAGTAGGCTATATCTCAGCAGCCTTTTTCATAGATGCTATCAGATCTCGATTCGGAAGAGCCAAATCTATAATGTTTGCTGAAGGCCTCATGGTTGCTGGCTATGTGATGATCGTTCCCAATCCTCCATTCCCAGTCGTTGTCCTGGCATTCTTATTCATCGGATTTGGCATGGCAATTAATTTGTCGTTGTCAAACGTTTTCGCAGCTAACCTCGATAATGGTACCAAAATGTTGGGCTTCATGCATGGTTCCTACGGACTTGGGGGTATCATTGCTCCATTGGTAGCCACCACACTCGTTTCATCTGGCATTTCATGGAGTCGTTACTACTTTATTCCGCTTGGAATGATGCTCGTCAATTTAGTATTTGCCGGATGGGCTTTCTGGGACTACGAGGATCCAAATGATATGGCACTGACCAACTTGACTCAATCAGGAAGCAGACCAAAATCCAGTGCAAAGAGGGACTTGATGGAAATGTTTAAAGCTGCTAAATTACCTGCTGTCTTAATCGGTGCCATTTTCATTTTCTCCTACCAAGGTGCGGAAGTTTCCATCTCCGGCTGGGTTGTCTACTTCCTGCAACAAGTCAGAGGTGCCAATAACAATGCTGGATATGTCACTTCTGGTTTCTGGGGTGGTATCACACTCGGTCGTTTCTTGCTATCTCCTATCGGGCACAAGATTGGTGAGAGGAAGTTTGTGGTTATCGTTGTGGTTTTGTCAGCTGCTTTCGAAGGAATCGTTTGGGGTGTCCCTAATGTCATTGGAGACGCTGTTGCGGTTTCTATCGTCGGTCTCCTTCTCGGGCCCGTCTACCCATGTGCCGCCTACATTTTCACTCGCATCATCCCTCGCAGATACCAAGTCAGTGGAATGAGTGTCATCAGTGCTCTTGGTAGTTCTGGTGGCGCCATTGCTCCTTTCACCACCGGAGTTTTGGCTCAGGCTTTTGGCAATTTCGTCTTGCATCCTATTGCTTTAGGTCTCTTTGCTGTCATGATGCTTTGCTGGTTCTTATTACCAAAGGTGGAGAAGAAAGACGATTAAACATACGACACAATAGCATAATGATTGACTTCACGACAAAATTCGGAATTTGAAAATGAAATGCGCTTTGAATTTGATTGCATATCTACATGGATTTTCGGTACTGAGCGGAGGTGCCATGGCGTTTTAATTGATACCAAGACGTTGGGACATGGCTGACAGGCGCATGTGGAGAGACCTTGGCGTCAATATGAAAGATTTACTTTCTGATTTGCATTGGGATTTTTGAAATTTATTGATGGAAATTTTTGTTTGGTATTGAAATATCAGAAGGAGCGCAAAAGTTACAGTAACATTCGGCTAGTCTATCATAGCTTATAATAGGGAGAATACAGCTTCATCGCTAATATACTACACGAAACTTCAATGCACTGACTTTACTCGAACGTCGGTGGCTAAGTATTCTTAAAATTCATGTCTCTCTGAATAGTGCAATGAACTGCATTGAAACGAATACGGATCGGATACAGATCGGATAGTAGTCGGGTCGTCGACGGCTAAAAGGGTCCAGTGGGGTGGTTTAAGTTGCCCAGTCACCCCGCATTTTGCATGTGTTAATTGGTTAAAGGTCATAGCTTTGGTCGTGGAGGCCCCTGGTGCACTGAAAACGCCGAAAATTGATGTGAACGGAGATGTAATTTTCATTGCTAGAGTTTTACAAACTCCGATGAATTATCGAAACGAGTCATGGATTCATTAATTGTGTTCGCATCATCAAAATGATGAGAGATGCTTTCGGTGATACGAGATTTGTGAATCTGGGGAATGTATCGCTTGCCAAGCCCACCGGCCCAACAACCGAGGATATCTTAAGCCGAGCTGTTTCCTTCCTCCGTGAGCACCAACGACTAAGTTTCACGAATCTTAATTGCCTCTCCTTTAGAATACTTAGCAATTGCTCTTTGACTTATAAAAGCTCTTGTCGTTCTCTCGAAAACTCTCACAAAATATCTTGCTACCTTTCAATACTCATTTGACATAACAAAGGAAGAAAGAAAAATGGCCTCAATTGTTAAAGCTTTAGCACCGGTGGTGAGAAGGGCTGGTACATCTGCATCTGCTGCCAGACCTGCAATCAGACTAACTAGACAGAGTAGAATATACCAACAGTATGTGTTTTCTCATTTAATTTCCCATCATTCCTATCAGTCTAACATCAGCGCAGTGCCCGTCCTCTTTCCGCCACCTCTCGCCTTCGTTCAGATCCCGTCGACATAACCGAGATTCCCCCAACTCCTATAACACATCTTTCTGAAATTGAACTGGCCATGTCGGAATCTGTCTCTAAATTTGCGAACGATATCATCGCGCCAAAAGTACGAGATATGGATGAGGCTGAGAGTATGGACCCTGCGGTTGTGGAACAGTTATTTGAACAAGGACTTATGGGAGTCGAAATACCTGAAGAGTATGGTGGTGCAGGAATGAACTTTACGGCAGCGATTGTGGGAATTGAGGAGTTGGCAAGAGTCGATCCAAGTGTGAGTGTGTTGGTGGATGTGCATAATACCCTGGTCAACACTGCGGTTATCAAATATGCGAGTAAGGAGTTGAAGAACAAGTGGTTGCCAAAATTGGCTACGAATACTGTTGGATCATTCTGTTTGTCCGAACCAGTATCTGGATCCGATGCTTTCGCGCTTGCCACAAAAGCTACCAAAACAGATTCAGGATATACGATTTCTGGAAGCAAGATGTGGATCACCAATTCTATGGAAGCAGAATTCTTTATTGTTTTTGCAAACCTTGATCATAGTAAAGGCTACAAGGGAATCTCCGCTTTCGTTGTCGAGAAGGGAATGAAGGGGTTCTCTATTGCTAAGAAGGAAAAGAAGCTTGGTATCAAGGCCAGCAGCACTTGTGTTCTTAACTTTGATGATGTGGAAATTCCTAGAGAAAATCTCTTGGGAGAAGAGGGACAAGGATACAAATATGCCATTGCCCTTCTGAATGAGGGCCGTATTGGAATCGCCGCACAAATGACCGGACTCGCTTTGGGAGCATTCGAAAACGCTACTAAGTACGCATGATAATGTATTCTTCGAGGGTTTCTCAATGGCTAATAGAGTTGAACAGATACGTATGGAATGACCGAAAGCAATTTGGACAATTAGTTGGAGATTTCCAGGGCATGCAACATCAAATCGCACAATCTTATACAGAAATTGCCGCTGCTCGCGCTCTAGTCTACAACGCTGCACGCAAGAAGGAAGCAGGTGAGAACTTTGTTCAGGATGCAGCTATGGCCAAGCTTTTTGCTTCGCAAGTCGCTCAACGCGTGAGTGGATTGGCGGTTCAATGGATGGGTGGTAAGTTGAATATCTCACGTTATTGTTTTAGCTCCATACTAAATTTTAATAATAGGAATGGGATTTGTCCGTGAAGGAATTGCGGAAAAGATGTGGAGAGATTCGATGATTGGATCTATTTACGAGGGAACGAGCAATATCCAATTGACAACGATAGCAAAGTTATTGAAGCAACAATATAAGTCGTAAGAGATAGATAGAAGAAGATAGAGAGATGATTGATACCAATTTAGAAGTATGGAGTGAAAGCTCGCTCTTGTTAGTCGCCTCGGCTTGATCCGAGTTTGATATCTCTGTATTGTTGTATTGTTGTATATTTCACCAAAAAATGATTCAATAACATGGATATTGAGAATGGCATTCATTACCTATCTCCCGTTCATATGTACCGTCGGTCGTGTTCCTTCCAAGCTAATAAACCCCTGAACTAGAATGACGATGATTACCCTAGTGGTGGCCTCCCTAAATTCCCTAAATTCCCTAAATTGTTAGGAGTAGTGGCACGGACATCACCCGTTGAACATTTCCCCTCTTGTTTGCGGAAGGATGGTGGCTCGGGTGGGTGGGTAGAAAGAATCGTATGATATTCATCTGGGCAGGTACGTATGAATTGAGAAATTGAGAGGATGGAGAGGATGGAGAGGATGGAGAGGATGGAGAGGATGGAGAGGATGGATCAGCTACTACTGTATTTGTATTGATGAGGAAAGATTGTGCGGATGATTCGATGTGTGTGTGTTAATGGTGTTTGGATTTATGTTGTTGTTGTTGTTGTTGTTGTTGTTGTTGTTGTTGTGTGTGTGGGTGTGTGTGGGTGTGGGTGGGTGAAAAGTAGGGACCTAGGCTAGGTAGGTAGGTAGTTGTATCGTAGATGGCAATTGGATTAGGTGATTGATAGATAGATGGGTAGGTAGTAGGTATCTAGATACTAGGTAGGTAGTAGGTAGGTAGAAGCTGGAGTGGTTTGATATGATTGAGATTGAGATTCACTTGGATAGCCCTTGAGGTACCGGTAACAGTATATGGTGGACTGTAACTGGTGATGACAGTCTACGCCGCATTCTTTGAAAATTGAGAGTCACAGAGACCTGACTTATGGACGTCCTTTATTGAATTCATTAAACGATTCTCTATAACAATAACAAATCAGAAATCTAGACAAGTTGGAGAGATCAATAAGCTTTGAAAAAGACACGGAATCTGGATGAAACGTATATCGGTATTCAAGCATCGATAACATAGCATCGATAACATAGCATCGATAACATAGCATCGATAACATTTCGGCATAAAGTACCTTTTCTTTATCCTTCCTTCCGACCCGTCATCAACCAATCTAGCACATGGTGGCTGAGCAAAATAAACAAAGTAATGCACTCACTCTGATATCGATACTACCCAAAGTACAGAGTACAGCAAGGTCGGACAAGTCTAGGAGTATTCGGCACCTATCAAAGACATCCATAGGCAACGGGGGTGATTGGGGGAAACTTAAAGTTCCTACCAAAGTTAACTGATATCAACAAACATCTCCATCTCCATCTCCATTTCCATTTCCATCTCCGTCTCCATCTCCATCCACAACTTGCAAACCTTCCTTCATATCCATACCGGTGCTGTCAAATACATGCTACCATACTACCATCATACATACACTCAACTCTCCAATCAGATCACCATACATATCTCGAAACACCATACGACAAGAACTCTTGGGGAATTGATACACACAAGAAACATAAAGATCAAGATAAAGACACAAGAAAAAACACGTCTTTTCATGCATAAGCCAATTCAAAACATAAGAGCTTTCAGATCCTAAGCTTTGTATTTATCTATCTCTTACATACCGGTACCTACTTCCACCCCTTCTTCGCCTTGCCAAGATTACTTTTTTCCAACAGCAACATCGGGCGTCAACAAACAAATCCCAGCCCATGCCCGGATAGTAAAACCCCACCTACTCCATCTCCACCTCGACCATCACAAACCTTACCATATTAAAAATCGGGCACAACGTTGAAACTCTTCGCCCAGCATTCATTATTCCTGTCTACGCAAAGTTGTTTTGAAGGACGGCAGAGGACCAAGCCGCAATCATGAATAGCAACGATGAGGAGGCTCTTAGCTCCGTCTACAAAAAGATCCAGCGCGAACGTGCTCTCCTCAATGCCGCGAATCAAATGAGGCAGCAGACTCAGAATGAGCAAGTTAGAGCTAGGATAGATATCCAAATGCGCGATGGTCGTCGAAATATTTCATACCTAGAGGAGCGCATGAAAGAATTACAGCTACGAACAGAAGGTCGAACGGGTAGTGCGGGGAGTAGTGCTGGTCGCCCGCCCAGTAGCGGTCTGCGTGATGATAGAGCCGCTCCGCCGCCAACCCCGCCGCCCAAGGACGCCAGGGGAAATCCCATCGAGACGGGGGATCAAGCCGGATATGGTGATCAGGAATATAGTCAGATTGGTGGTCATGGTGATATGATGCCACCGAGAAATCCTTTTGCGCCTCCTGCACCAGGTTCTGGCATGCCTAGATCACGTCCTAATTATACCAAGCTTGGTAGGTTACTTTTATATATTCCATCATTGATGGACAAATGCTGACTGTGCAATTCAGACCTCATCAAGTATGATACCCCTTATCTAGGACCCCGCATTCAACTCATGCTTTCACAATTGGAGTTCAAGCTTAACGTCGAGAAACAATATTTGAAGGGTATCGAGAAGATGGTTCAATTATATCAAATGGAGGGCGATAGGAAGAGTAAAGCGGATGCTGCTGCTCGCCGAGTTGAAAGTAATCAAAAGATTCAAATCCTCAAGCAGGCTTTGAAAGGTTACGAAGATTTACATATAGATATGGAGAGCTCAGCGGATGCTCCCGATGGTAGGATCCCAAACGTGTCTTTTGGCTAACCTCGCAAGCTAACAGGTCTCAACAGATGATAGTATCAATACCCCTAATATGCGAAAGCCTTTGACAGGTCAACTTGTTCTCCGCATTCAAGCAGTTAAAGATGTTGATCATGCAACAACCAGTAGATTTACAAGAGGTCCGGAAACTTCTATCGCCGTGAAGGTAGAAGATAATGTTGTTGCACGAACGAAAAACACCCGAACTGATAAATGGGAAAATGAAATTCATAACATTTATGTGGACAAGGCAAACGAAATCGAACTTACGGTTTACGACAAAGCTGGCGATCAAGCATTACCTATTGGATTATTGTGGGTCCGAATATCTGACATTGTCGAAGAAATGAGAAGGAAGAGAATCGAGGCCGAGATCAACAACTCAGGGTGGGTTTCTGCGGACCGCATGGCTAGTGGTGGCGCCCCACCAGCACAATTTCCAATGACTGGCACAAGTCAATTTGGACCGCCGCCAGGTAGCGCGGGAACTGGAGCACAACCAGCGGGAGCAAACGAGTTTGGAGGGCCGGGAAACACAGTGGTAGCACCACAACCGATCGATGCGTGGTTTGCCCTCGAACCTAGCGGTGCCGTAAATCTCAATATCTCGTTCACGAAACAAACTAAAGATCGGAGACCATTTGACCTTGCCCTTGGTCGAAAAGGTGCCATTCGTCAAAGAAAGGAAGAAGTCCACGAGATGTATGGACACAAGTTCATCTCGCAACAATTTTACAACATCATGCGATGTGCACTCTGTGGAGACTTCCTTACATATACTGCTGGTATGCAGTGTGAGGACTGCAAATATACTTGTCATACGAAGTGTTTCTCACAAGTCGTTACGAAATGTATCAGCAAATCCAATGCGGAAACCGATCCAGACGAGGAAAAGATCAATCATCGTATTCCTCATCGTTTCGAGAAGTTCAACAATATGAGCGCCAACTGGTGTTGTCATTGTGGATATGTTTTGCCATTCGGAAAGAAGAATTGTCGCAAGTGCACAGGTAAGTACTTTTACACGAACCCGAAATTCTGTTTAACTAACAAGAGTAGAATGTGCCCTTACATGCCATGCACACTGTGTACATCTTGTTCCAGATTTCTGTGGTATGTCCATGGCTGTCGCAAACGCCATTCTTGAAGGTATTAGAGGCCAAAAACGACGACTGACGACACCTGTTCCCATGAGCGAGAAAACATTGAGAGAGAAAAAGCCAGAAACGGAAGGAACACCGACTGATCGTAACTCTTATGGATCACCTGAATCACAACGACCTCCTAGAGCAAAATCTTATGGGGCACCCAGCTCCAGCGACGCTACTCAAGCCGCACAGGCAATGTATACACCAAATTCACCACAACAACAACGACCAGCAGGACCTGATCGAACATCCACATCATCAAGTGCTACAGCTGCCGCTGCTGCAGCAACTGCTGCAATGGGGGGTAGGCAACCGATACCTCCAAGAGACCAATATTCCCGAGCTTCCACTGATTATACCCAACAAGTCGGAGCTCAACGAGGCGCGGCTGGCAATGCACAAACACCCGATAAGCATTCTGAGACCAGTCCATATGGTGCAAATCCCTCGGCGCAAATGCCTACACAGCCAGCTTATAACCCTGCTGCATATGCAAATGTTGACAGTGGTTATTCTCAGCCAATGCCCCAACTACAACATTCGCCACTCCCACCTCCTCCTCCATCTGCAACAATGTTTGCGCCTCCATCACAAGGACCTCCTCCAGAGATTCCACTCCCTGCACAACCTAGTTCACAGCAAGTCGTACCTCAAGGGCAACAACGAAAGCAAGTCCCTGCAGCAAACGAACCAGGCACTGGACGTCGTATTGGTCTTGATCATTTCAACTTTCTTGCGGTTCTGGGTAAGGGTAATTTCGGTAAGGTCATGCTTGCTGAGACCAAGCAAACTAAGCAACTTTATGCCATTAAAGTTTTGAAAAAGGAGTTCATCATTGAGAATGATGAAGTCGAAAGTACTAGGTCCGAGAAGAGAGTATTCTTGATCGCAAACAAGGAACGTCATCCTTTCTTGTTGACTCTCCATGCCTGTTTCCAAACAGAAACCAGAGTATATTTCGTTATGGAGTACATCAGTGGTGGTGATCTTATGTTGCACATTCAACGAGGACAATTCGGAACTAAGCGTGCACAGTAAGTCATCTGTTATCCTTTCTATTAGAATCATCCATTGACAATCATAGATTTTATGCTGCTGAAGTCTGCTTGGCTTTGAAATACTTCCACGAAAATGGTGTTATTTATCGTGATTTGAAGTTGGACAATATTCTATTGACACTTGATGGTCACATCAAAATTGCCGATTATGGTCTCTGTAAGGAAGAGATGTGGTATGGTTCGACTACGAGCACTTTCTGTGGTACTCCTGAATTCATGGCCCCAGAGGTAAGTCTTTCCCATGGCTAATATCGTACAAAGCTAACTGTGGATTAGATTTTGCTAGACAAAAAATACGGTCGAGCAGTCGATTGGTGGGCATTTGGTGTTCTCATTTACCAAATGCTTCTCCAACAATCACCCTTCAGGGGAGAGGATGAAGACGAAATTTACGATGCCATTCTTGCGGATGAACCTTTATACCCAATCCACATGCCCCGTGATTCAGTATCGATATTACAAAAATTATTGACACGTGAACCTGAACAAAGACTGGGAAGTGGACCTACTGATGCACAAGAGATCATGAGTCAACCATTCTTCAGAAGCATTAATTGGGATGATGTTTACCACAAGAGAATTGCACCACCTTTCCAACCTTCTATCACCAATGCTACCGATACTAGCAATTTCGATTCCGAATTCACCAGTGTCACACCTGTTTTGACACCAGTGCAGTCTGGTATGTTGAATTTACATCTTTATGGAAAACTTTTGACTGATGACATCTACAGTTTTGTCTCAAGCTATGCAAGAAGAGTTCCGCGGTTTCTCTTACTCTGCTGATTTTGTTTGAGCGGATCGAGTACCTAAGCCACTGATTTTCTTGTCGCCATAGACGCTATGAAATTCACATTTTTAGTAAGGGGCTGGGCTTTCTGTAAACCAAATCATGCCAGATATAGGACCTACATTAGGGAAACTATTGGGACGGGCTTAGCACGTGTTTAGTGGAGGAGAGCAGGGACAAAAAGAGAAGAGTGAGGGGGTTGAGGGAGTAGAGAGGAGTAGAAGGTGATTGGTTTGGATGAATGGATAAATATGGTGGGAGGATGAATAATGGTATGAAAGAAAGTGAAGGCATCGATAATGAACCATTGATAATGAATGAATTAATGGATGGATTGCATGATATATGACGATTGATTGGATGATTGGTTGATTCGATTGAAAAGCGCTGCTGTATGTGAGTATGTGATGGAGCGAGTGCATTAGTATGAGAATGAGTATGACGATGAGAGCTGAAGAGAAAATTAAAATGGGGGTGGAATGTGGAATGTGGAATGTGGAATGTGGAATGTGGAATGTGGAATCTGGAATCTGGAATCTGGAAGTGGAAAGGGGGGAATTACACTTTAGTTACATAGGTAGGCAACGAAAAACATTACAATACGGTACACCAGGTACAACAGATAGATAATTATGGATTCAATTCAAGTCAAGTCAATTCACTTACTCACTCACTCACCCGCTCGCTCACTCACTCGCTTGTAATACCTAGGTAGGTAGGTAGGTATGTCATTTTCTTGATTTTGTTGTGGGAGTGTGAGGGGAGGGGAGAGTGAGGGTGGGTGAGGGTGAGGGTGAGGGTGAGGGTGAGGGTGAGGGTGAGGGTGAGGGTGAGGGTGAGGGTGAGGGTGAGGGTGAGGGTGAGGGTGAGGGTGAGGGTGAGGGTGAGGGTGAGGGTGAGGGTGAGGGTGAGGGTGAGGGTGAGGGTGAGGGTGAGGGTGAGGGTGAGGGTGAGGGTGAGGGTGAGGGTGAGGGTGAGGGTGAGGGTGAGGGTGAGGGTGAGTGAGGGTGAGGGTGAGGGTGAGTATGTATTTGAGGATTGAAAAATTGTTGTTTTTATGGTTTTTGTTATTGTTATGAAAATGATGGAGGGGTGAGAGATATGGGAATAATGGGAATAATGGGAATGATGGGAATGATGGGAATGATAAATAATGGGAATTGAGGGAGAAAGGGGGAAGGGGGGAATAATGAGAGTTGTGAGGATTACCTAGATATGCATAGGTATGTATATGATAGATGTGAAACTAGGCAGGTAGGCAGGTAGGCAGGTAGGTAGGTAGTATTTAAATTCTGGGGAGGAAATCGGTTGGGTTTTTGGGTTTTTGAGTTTTTGAGTTTTTGGGTTGGGAGGAGAGAGAGGAGAGAGAGGAGAGAGAGGAGAGAGAGGAGAGAGAGGAGAGAGAGGAGAGAGAGGAGAGAGAGGAGAGAGAGAATGTGGGGGGGGGGAATTTGGATTTGGATTGATTTAGATGATGATGATGATGATGATGATGATGATGATGATGATGATGATGATGATGATGATGATGATGATGATGATGATGATGATGATTAGGGGGTTCGTTCGCTTGAGAGTTCCTTAGGACGAGGGGGTAGGGAAATGAAAATGGAAAAGAAAAGCGGATATAGAAATAGAAATAGAAATAGAAATAGAAATAGAAATAGAAATAGAAATAGAAATAGAAATAGAAATAGAAATAGAAATAGAAATAGAAATAGAAATAGAAATAGAAATAGAAATAGAAATAGAAATAGAAATAGAAATAGAAATAGAAATTGTGTATTTGGATTTAAATTTAGATTTAGATTTGTACAGAGGAAGTACGGATATTCCAATATCAATCATTCATTCATTCAAGAAACTCGAGAAACTCAAGTTGTAAATAGTATTATAGTATAATAAACTCCTATTCTCCATTTTGAGTAGGTACCTAGTATGTTATGTAAATGAGATGTAACTCAATCAGGGAAGTCAGAAATGCGCAGTGAGAGATCATGCGGGTATTCTTTTTAATTCTTTCTTTCTTTCTTACTTGCACTATATCGAGAAGCAGCTAAACGCTCTAAACCTAGTCAGGAAAACAACTTGTACGAAGCGCTTTTTCGCTATCTAATCATTGAACTCGGGTTGAGAAATTCATCTTGATCATCATTCATCCATCATAATTCTTCCGTCCATCCACGCCTTCAATCTTTTCTTTGTCTCCAAACTCCTCAATCCCATCCCTACGCAAAAAATCTAGTAACTTCTTCCGTACATACAATATTTCTCTGCCAAAACTCCACACTCTGGGTTCAAACATTTGGTTTCACCCTTGACGAGACCTTCTGGTTGTTCAAATGGAATACACAAACTCTTCATTCCCATTGTTGGTACCTTCTTTCCATCAGGTCCAACTTCTTCACTAGCACCTCCCTTGGTCAAGTCCTTGATCTTATCTTCGCACTTCTCGCCCAAGCAGGATGGAATAAGAACGACATTCTTGGCATCAAGTGCAGGGACAACTTCACTCCAGTTGTTGATGACAAGTCTGTGAGCTTTGAATGCTGCTTCGGCCTTTGTGTAGAGAGAGCTTTGGATAGTTTCGAGGAGAGCGGGAACTTCAGTTGAGAGATTTGCGATCGCAATTGTGCCCTTCTCACCGGTATCACGACGGGCGTAGGAGACAACTTCTTGGGCAGCATCTCTTGGACCGTATTCGAGACGGAGAGGAACACCCTTCAATTCCCAATCGTTAAATTTCCAAGCTGGAGTATATCCATCACGGATATCATAATCGGCGCGAACACCAGCTTTCTTGAGAGTATCCTTGATGTTTTGTAGTTCATCATATCTCTTGGCCTTTTCTTCAGGAGTAGTTTTATTTGTAATACCGACTGGGACGATAATGGCCTGAAGTTTTGCGATACGGGGTGGGAGAACAAGTCCTTTGTCATCACCGTGAATCATGACCATAACACCGATAACACGAGTGGAAAGACCCCAAGAATTTTGCCAGACGTGAAGATGGCCAGCCTTTTCTCCGTTCTTTGGAGTTGGATCCTCGACAGTAATATCGAACATCTTACTAAAATTTTGACCAAGGCAGTGAGAAGTAGCACCTTGAATACCACGACCATTAGAGGGAATATAACCTTCTACTGTTGTAGTATAGTATCCTCCTGCGAACTTTTCCTTCTCGGTTTTGCGACCACGGACAACTGGAACTGCCAATAATTGTTCATAAACACCAGCGTAAAACTCGAGGATCTGAAGAACTTCCTCCCCGGCGAGTTCTTCTGTAAGATGTGCGGTATGTCCTTCCTGCCATAAGAATTCCCTAGCTCTCAAGAATGGAGTTGTTTGTTTGGCTTCCCAACGAACGACACTGTTCCACTGGTTCAATCGTAAAGGAAGGTCTCGATGACTTCGGATCCATTTCGAGTAGTATGGGTACATAACAGCTTCTGAGGTAGGACGGACTGCGACAGGAACTTCGAGATCTTTATCACCACTTTATCACAGTTAGTATAGCGGGGTAGGGGAGAATAAGATAGTGAAGCTTACGCCTTGGTAACCCAAGCAAGCTCAGGAGCAAAACCCTCAACGTGATCCTTCTCTTTCTCCAATGACTTTGAAGACAAGAACATGGGGAAACTAGCCTCCTCTACATCAAGTGTCTCGATTTTTGCTTGAAACCAATTTCGAATTTGGTTCCAGATAAACATAGATTGAGGACGTAAGATGAAGAACCCGGAGATTTCATTGTAATACTCGATCATCTCTGCCTTCAAAACAACCTCTTGATACCATTGTGAGAAGTCTTCGGACTTCTTGACAGTAATACCAATAATATCATCTGTTTTCTTACCCCCCACTACGGGAAGCGCAGCATTCTTAGCAGCTTTCGCGGCTTTATCTGCAGCCATTTTTGCTTCCTTGGCGGCTTTTTTCAAGGCACTTTTAGATGGCCCTTCTTGCGCAACTTCTGGAGTATTGGAGTCCGCCATGATTGTGTTGGTTGTTGGTGGTGAAGAGTGTGAAGGAAGAGAGTTGCTTTTGTTTATTGAACGAGTGACTGATTCATTGACTCCCTTCAACTATTCCCCCGCCCTAAAATTTAAGCGACAAGGATTTATTCAGGCTTGCGATTTATTAGTGGACTTTCCCCTGGCCTGGTCAGCCCCACTAAGTAATTCGACGAGGCTGAGCTCTTGCCTTAATTTTCAAGGCCAAATGCTTAAAAATATTAGCGTGGAAAGCTCTCGCGTCCCTTTTCTCTCGCGACGACGAAGAAGAAGAAATATTACCAGAAGAGCTTCCGCCATTTTAAGAATATCAACAATATGGGGTCCCTTTTTGAACAACCTAGAAATGCCGGAACTTTGTGTATGTTTGCACTTGGAAATTTTGCTGGTACAAATGCTAATAACAAGTAGTCCTCGGCGGCCAAAAGATCAGTGGACAAGATATTCGGGATCAAAATGGTATGAGCTAAAATGTTCACGAAAAAGATGTGAATTAACCTGTTCATAGTTCTTGCAACCCAGGCTATTGCCAATGTTGTCAAAAGTTCATTTGGTCCAAGTGGTTTGGACAAAATGATGGTAGATGATATAGGAGTATGCTTGTCCCCTCCAGAAGAACCCCACCAAATACTGATTTCAGACAGGACGTTACAGTCACAAACGATGGCGCAACTATTCTGAGTTTATTAGATGTCGAACATCCAGCAGGCAAGATCTTAGTCGACTTGGCACAGCAACAAGACAAAGAAGTCGGAGATGGAACAACATCTGTGGTTATTATTGCAGCAGAGCTTCTTCGAAGAGCCAACGAACTTATGAAGAATCGTATACATCCTACCACAATCATCACTGGTTACCGTTTAGCACTCCGTGAGGCTGTCAAGTACATGCACGAGAACATCAGTGTGAAGGTGGACCAGTTGGGCCGGGACTCTTTAATCAGCATCGCCAAAACCTCCATGTCGAGTAAGATTATTGGATCGGATTCTGATTTCTTTGCAAACATGGTTGTAGATGCTATGCAGGCAGTCAAATCAACAAATACCCGACAAGAAGTTAAATACCCCGTCAAGGCTGTCAATATTTTAAAAGCACACGGTAAAGGAGCTTTGGAGTCTATTTTGGTCAAGGGTTATGCTTTGAACTGCACAGTTGCATCACAAGCAATGAAGACCAGAATTACGGATGCCAAGATTGCCATTTTAGATATCAACTTACAAAAGGAGAGAATGAAGCTCGGTGTCAACATTACAATCGACGATCCAACACAATTAGAAGAAATCCGTAAGAGGGAAGCTGGAATTGTTATGGATCGAATCGATATGATTCTCAAGGCTGGAGCAAATGTGGTTATGACGACAAAGGGTATTGACGATATGTGCCTGAAACTCTTCATTGAGAAGGGTGCCATGGCTGTCCGAAGATGTAAGAAGGAGGACTTGAGAAGAATAGCAAAGGCAACCGGTGCTACCTTGATCAGCTCATTGTCTGATTTGAACGGTGATGAGAAATTCGAGGCATCCTCATTAGGACATGCCGAAGAAGTTGTTCAGGAGAGAATTTCCGACGATGAATGTATTTTGGTTAAGGGTACCAAAGTTCACACCTCTGCATCCATCATCCTTAGAGGACCCAACGATTATCAACTCGACGAGATGGAGAGATCCGTTCACGATTCTCTATGCGCTGTTAAGCGAACTTTAGAGAGCGGAAGTATCGTTCCAGGAGGTGGTGCATGTGAGACTGCACTCCACATTTATTTGGAAGAATTTGCCGGTACCGTTGGCTCAAGAGAGCAACTTGCCATTGGCGAATTTGCTCAAGCTCTCCTCGTTATCCCCAAAACCCTCGCTGTCAACGCCGCTAAAGATTCATCTGAATTGGTTGCTCAGCTCCGTTCCCGACACGCTCTATCGCAACGTATTAAGGATGGCGATGCTAACGAAGATGAAAAGACTATTGCCAAGAAGAAGAACTACAAGAACTACGGATTGGATTTGTTGAAGGGTAAAGTAGTGGATGAGATTAAGGCTGGTGTTTTGGAGCCAAGCATGAGCAAGATTCGACAATTGAAGTCGGCGGTTGAAGCTTGTATTTCCATCATGAGGATAGATACCTTGATTAAGCTGGATCCGGAACAGAGAGAGGATGATGGACATGGACATTGATGATTGATGGCTTTTAGATGAAGAAATGACCTACATATGAAGGAGATGTAATATTACGGGATATGATAATGTGAATCAAAAGAAAGCATTTACCTGTAACTTTTCTGTTCTCCAATTGTGAATTTTCGAACTTTTCGATCATGCCAGAAACTAACTTAGTGGGCAAATCACTTGGAGATTTTTATTCCATACAAAATAACCATAAACATAGTGGTTAAATCCAAAATTTGAAACTTTTCGAAGCGATATCATTTATCCGATCTTTTGTACAAAGGCCATTCCACCACCCCTTCTACAAAGCCATAACGCTTCCAGATCAAGGTCTATCATTCTCTCTCGTTCAAAATAAAAACGTTGTTTCATCTATCTTCCACTCTTC